AATTCACTCCTTAAAGGCGACAATTTACCATTGACCAGTGTCCCAATCTTCCCCAAAGTCGTGCCCCATTTTAACCCCACTAGTCCTGGCGGTACGCGAAAAAAAAACCGCAAAAAGGTATAGAAGTGTGAAACTTGGTACACTTGTTCCTGAGACCATTTAAAAGGATTTGACCCGTTGCTCTTTTCAATTTTTGCATTAGGGTTCAATTTTTGAACACTTTTAACAAAATGGCGGCCAATATGCAAAAGGATTGAAAGTGGTCCTGTTTCAACGATGTTAGAGTCGATTCCGAACATTTCGAGCATGCCTAGTCGAATGCCGAGGTCGTCGAGCCCCTCCGACCTCCAGGTATTCATCAAATCGGCCATTTTTACAAAATGGTGGCCATTTAGGCTTCTTAGCGAATTTAGACTTGTGCATCCGTGTTTGGTGTGGTTTTCGGGTAATTTCTGGTCGTTGAATACATTTCCGAACTTAAAAAACAATTTGGCGTCTTTGGACGGGTGATCGGGTACCAGGGAGTATTATATTTCGGTTCGTTCAAAAATTAAAGAAGTGCGTGATGGGTGTCGTTTCGGGGTAAAACGAGGTCGCTGGACACGTTTTCCGACCCTTAAAACCATTTTGACATCATGGAGTGGGTAAACGGTTGAAGGAATACAAGAAATGTGTTCAATTTTGGTCCAAATGTTGAATATGTGCGTGATGAGTGTCGTTTCCGGGTAATTTGAGGCCGTTGAACACGACTCTGTGTTTTAATCAATTTTTTTGCATGGAGAGACGACGTACTTGGTTGAAAATTGCAAAACCTGGGAAGGGATGAAAATATCGAACTCACACTGGTGAAACAAAGGCATGATAACTACGCCCTTAAGGGCATACCAGTCTTTCACGTTAGGGCAAGGGCGTGATAAAGTAATGCATTTGGAATGGCATACTAATTTTGCCTAGAAGCCCAGGGGCGTACATCGTTATCGCCTGTTAATGTTAAATAAAGGCAGTGTCGTCCAGATCTTTCAGAAAGGAGCTCACACACCAGAAAGTGTGTACTGTGACATGAAACATTCATGGAATTATGGTCATTTCCAATAAAATCGGGGCAAAGGAGGGAAGCCACATTTGTAAACGCCTCTGACGCATAAGCCAAATGTAAAACTTGCTAGAGCCGCTGCACTGCAGTCCTGTCTACCAGTACACAATTACGAATGAACTCCTGCAAGTACACCCTTTCAAATGCACGCTTAGCCAAATGCACACTTACAAGTGCATTCTTCGCAATTAAACACCACAAGTGCATATGCGTACTAGAATATGGTTACGGGGACCACGTATGTAGTAAGGAGGCGTGCGCTTGCCAAGTTTGCATTTGTAAGAGTGTACTTGGCCAAGAATGCGTTTGTGTGTCCTAAGGAGACAGTCAGGTTTATAGTGCGAGTTCTGAAATCCAATAATACTAAGAAACTACTAAGAAACAACTGTTTCTTAATCTTCGTCTTCTGGTGCCTCCCTCAAGAATGGTGCTTAGAGTCGGGCTGGAAGGAGGTAAGTAGTAGTTAGTAACTTATTAAGCGAAACTTTATGACTGACTACACTCTTAGTGTTTCTTTGTACCCACTGTTTGAGAAGTTCCCTTTGTAATTTTTTTGCAGGCTTTGCAGCAAGGAATCTGGACACATCTGAGTGCTGCAGTCAGACGTGCAGCAACAGCGATCCAGCTCTCGGCGACACTTGTCCAAATGTCTAGGAGATGTGACCAGGGCTGAACTGTTGCATTAACAGAAGTCCATTCCCAGTTGTTAATTGGAGGAGGCACGATACTGCTCCGTCACACTGTCCCAAATGTGGCCACCTTAGTATGCTGCTCTCTCTATTCTCACCTCGGCTAGCTAGAATGGGCGCAGGAAGCACACAAAGACAGTTGCTGGAGGGTCTCGTCCCTGGTGGTGTGGTTGGTTGCAGAAATAACAATTTTGGAGAGG